GAACGTCGCTCTGATACCATGATAGAATGAGATAATGAAAATGAAATTATAAGGATAAAGCAAAAGGCACTATTCAAGTAGTATAATGTGAAGTCTATTTATACATAGTGAAAGAGGATATTTCTTTAACTGAGCAGAGAGATTTCCTCATGCAGTTGAGGAAATCTCATCTGCTATGCAGTTGAGGATATCTCTCTTTTATCAGAGAAAATCTCTCTGTTATCAGTAACTCTAACTGAATCTTTGGGTAGATATCTTGACTAACTCATGCATTCTTAAACCTTTTTTTATATTTATTATTTTAGTTAGATTCATGAATTTTTTTCCCAAACAATTTAGGGTAAAATCTCGATGGATTTTGATTAAGGAATTATTGAAGAACTTTTCAAAATAAATTATTATTTTTTGTTTGCATTGTGTTGCCATACTCTTTCATGATTATAAATTTGCATTTGATGTACAGAGGGATTAACTTGTTCAATTGTGTTGTTTCATTTCTTGTACTTGCTCAATTGGCTAAAAGAGATTAAGTTAAGTCTATCTACGATCATACTCATACTCATACTCATAGGAGAAATAAGATTAGTTGAACCTTAGGATAAAATTATTTACTAATATTGTGTTTATATGTTTCTGGATTCTTTCTTCCTTAAATTTAACCTTTTGATTTATTATTTTAGTATTCCTTAGATTCCTTGATTAGATCATATACTTTTTCTTTTTTTTGCTCCATTTTAGATTTTTTTGCTCATTGTATTTATGTATAAACCCTTTTCTCTATAAATGAAGTTGTAAAGCGATCGAAGATTGATCTACTAAGATGTGAGCGGATCGGATATTAATTTATTTGATATTAATTTATTTGATCACATGAACCCTTCATTTTTTTTTTATTTGATCACATGAAAAAATAAACATGCAAACGAAGCATTCGAATGCCATGAACCCTTTACTGTTTTTTCACTATATTGTAGCTATTTATTTGATCACGACTACATAATTGTTTTTTTTGTGGGAATATATCGGTTGATAGACATTGTTGAACTCATTGGCTAAACAAGTTTGTAAATCTGTAACATTCTTGAACTCAGTAACATTGTCAATTAGTGACATTGTTGATAGACATTGTTGAACTTAGTGACTAAATAAGTTGATAAACATTGCAAATAAATGATAGCATGCATATCAACGCACAACAAAGCGGCAGTATTTCTCTGTTGCTCTCCTGGCATTTGACCACAATTAATTGCCACTATATCTTCTATGTGTTCAGTTAATTGTTTGAATCCGGATGCTGCAACCTGGCACCCTTCATCGACAAAACTAAAAATAAATCTACCAATAAGTGCCGTCCATTATAAAACTTCTGCATTTACAACACACTTTGCATATTAGGTTCTAAAGGAAAAAAGGGTGAATTCAGTTTTTCCACCTATAGTACAAAGATGAGCTCAGCCTTCTCGCCAAATGTTACACGACCAGACGATCATCATCAATCTTGATGAAGATTCTGTGCTGGTGGAGCAAATCTGGCATCTGCCGCCAACACCACATTGTCATCTGCAAAGAGTGCTTTAATAAACCAAGGGGTTTTCAGCAGTCGGCGTCCTGTCATTTGAGGATAGACATCCTCGAGGAAATAGTATGTATGACCCGCAATCATGCCCTGCAGTAAGAACCACATATAATCAGCTCAGAGATGCCAAAAAGATACATCGTAAGAATGGCAACACAACCATATGGCAAATCACAGATCAAACGATGCAAGTGGTCACCTACAACTTTTGTAAATCTCAGATTAAGCACAATATAATTTAGTTGGGCCAACAAATCTATTTTATAGTTTCCACCTTGAAAAAGGTGAACCAAGAAACCAAACCTAGCGAATCCAATGGTCGAATAAAATACCAAAAAATTGAGATTTTGGAAGTTGACTCTGTGAACTTTTCGCTAAGCATGTGTAAAACCACCAATGAGGATCAAATCTCAAAGTGTGTTTTTCTGTTGTTTTTGTGCATAAACACAGGGTGATAAGTTTCAACTTTCAACTGTCAGCATCACATAAGTTGCAACAACCTTTGACTGATTCAACTAAATGTTCTAACAAGCATCATATATTTAGAGTCTAAATTCTTAAATTAGACTATTAATAATTACCAAACCAAACCACATACCCGACAAGACAGTGACCAACCAAAGGCAGCAAAAGGTCATGGACTAAAAACTGAGCACGTCACTGCCACCTAAGTAGAGTAACCCTTGCCCAGTTTAACAAAATTGGGACCACCATCACCCATGACAGTCATTTACCAGAATGCAAGTCCACAATTACCACCATATCGATTATCTAGACAGCAGACCTTCCAAGGACATTATTCAGAAATATGGAATTCATGGATTAACTAAAGTATAACATTTATTTATCTGAATGTCAGCTATGCAATACTTATATCTTCAACCGCTTACCAGAAGATCCACCCATGCGTTGCTGCCAACAAGAACAGAGAACCCCAGAAGAACCTATAACAGGGAAACTGTAAACATTTAGATGACTTTTTCAAACATTGTTACTACTAAATCCAGCTGGTAGAACACAGATGTTAAGCACTCATAATTAGCTGAACATCTATTGAAAATAAGAAACAATTAATTTTCATTTTGATGCCTGTGCAGACACCCTGTACAAAGAGACATGATGTTCATGACAAATTTCATTATTAGAAAGCCAAATTTACAGTCATGCAGTACAAAGAGACATGCTGCTAGAAAAAGGGCCATAACAAAGTAATCCTTGTCAAATACACAATATCAAACAAACTGAAAGTCTTAGAAAGCCTTTTCCCTCCTAACAACATTTCACTGTGAGATTCTTTTTTGGAAGTGTCAGAAATATATGCAACCCTCCCAATTTCTTTTCAGAAATTACTAAGTAGAGAAGAGGACATCACAAAAATAGTATAGAGTAATAATCAGAAATATATGCAACCCTTCCGATTTCTTTTCAGAATGCACTATCAAGAGAAGAGAATATCACATTAATACTAGAATTAAGATACATAAGTTAAAAATTAAATAAGTTGGCTAATTAAGAAAAGAAATAATTCAATAAAAGCTCATGTTGAGCTTGGCTGAGCGAGAAAATTCAACGATGCCACTCACCCATGGTAGATAAGCAGCAGTAAAAGTGAAAAGACCCAAGAAACTCATGGGAATAAAAGGATTATGCTTGCTCCAAACATAGACCTGCAAATTTCAATATAAAGAGAGACAGAAGGTTAATCAAGGTTTTAGCTATCACACACGGAATAAGAAATAATAATATTCAACAACTGACCATCATGAACGTCAAAGAATTGCTCAGGAAGAAAAACTTTGCAAAAGTCTCAGACACATACGGTATCATCCCACCAATTAAAACAATCCCAGTCAACACAGTTGCACCAAATAAAAGCATGAAGAAAAAATCAGCTGTCCGGCCCCTGAATGAGTTATCCTCAAGCAACTTGCAGTATCGAGCCAGAAAAAACATATGGAATAGGAAGTCAAAGTCTGTCAAATTTCAACAAATAAACACCAATGAGAGATACAGCATATAATGAATGCTTCTGGTTAAAATTGCCTCAACAGAAAACTAAATGGTTAATAAGAAGAATAAAAACTATTGAATGGAAGTCAACACTTAGCAACAAGAACCACAAAAATAATGCACCAAAGGAAAGGATTATTGGTGCATTTGTATGCTTGTTTTGACTTGCCAAGCCACTGTAGTGATTTTTTTCTCAAATATTTTCAAACAGAATCATACCTAATTGCTATCACAAGTTCTTTTTTGGAGAAAATATAAACAACATACAAGTATTTTCTTTTTACATTTTCTTCATCAACTGTATCGACAAATAAATAGCAGCAGTGTCTCAAGAAAAAAAGGAAAAAAAGTATGGCACTGCTGTTTTTATAGGATGGTAGCAAAAAACTTATCGGACAATTAGACATACTAATAGTTTCTGACACTTCATCAAGCATACTAATTATAAAGGCATGTCATACTACGGCACACGGGCGGTATGTACCGGTACAGGCAGTACATGTTAGTTTGTCAGTATGCCCTATCATACCATGTGTCAGTATATCGGTACGATTTGATATGTACCATATCAATGATTGGTCGATATACCTGTATGGACCAATAAAGTGAACCATGCTAGTTATCCAAGATACTATGATCTCCCACACTCAGGCAAACTTCAATAGAGATATTATCAATTCCTTTGATATATAGTCAATGTACTTCTAACTACAATGTCAGGAGAACTATCATCTTTTATGCCTAATTGGGTGGAGATGCTAGTTAAATATTATTCATCATAATTTATAACTGCAAAATAAAAGTCAACTTTTGTAGTATATATTATCATACATATATACATTGTTACATTCATGTTGTTATTTCCATTTTTAAAAAAATCAATTTTCTTTGTTTCATATGCATCATAGCTTAGATATGCTAACATAATAATACTTTATAATTTTTTGAAACCAGGAATTACCAAATTGGAACTTGGATTTTTTTAGCTGAAACACATGTTTTGTTAATAATCGATCAGAAACCTTTGAACTGTAACACACTAATAAATGAGAAAAGACTGCAAGATGATACACTTTGACTTTTTTTCATAAAAATATAAAACAAAATAGCTTAATTCTTCTAGCCAACACATACAATGTGCCGAGAATGGACTTATTTATTCAACTTTCAAGTGTGGCCTAAATGAAAAAAAAATCAATTGTTTATTCAAACTTAACAGTGAACAACCTGACTAGCATGCTTTGAAAGACATGAACCAAGAAATGACCAACAAAATGATAGCAAATGTAGAGGCTTCTAAGGCTTATTTGATGACTATATGGTCACACCAAACGAAAGATTACGGCATCAGTACCTGAGATTTTTTGTCAACATTGGACTCTCCTTGGTACCAGCATAAAATTAACATATGAGGGAATTTAACCAGAATCTAGTTTTCATACACAGCAAAGAACCAGATAATCCATTAGCTTTGTGTGACAAGCATTAGATGAAGCTAACATAATTTCATCAAAAACTAGCAACAGAAACAAGCTAGAACAACATGAGAAAGCAAAAACTTCTAGGGGGATATCCATCCTAGTGACAATCTCGCTCAAGCATGCTTAACTTTGAAGTTGCGATAGAATATAGTACATCGGTGCTGGATGATCAAACCCAAGATATTTTGCTGGGGATTGAATTGTGAGAAAAATCAACTTGATACAACAACCAGCGCTCCTTCTAACATTTGACAGATGTTCCCAATCTATCTCCACATGTTCATAAGGAGTCTCAATCTAAACACTTCACATTATGAGTACACCTTCCTTCCATAAATGTCTAGAAAGTAGCATCCAGGACTCCAAATGGATGACTCTGTATAATCTCATTATTAATAAATCAAAATTTTCTAGCATATTGAGAAATTGGGAGATGGCTCGGTCACAGCGGCATGTAACTGCTACTCAATAGTAACATGCGAGTTTTTAGAGTAGCCCCTACCGACCATAATTCGTTCATCAAGGGTTCCATACATAACGGAGAAAATAAAACCAGCAGGCTCCAAGACCAAATAAAAGATATTTCTGAAAATGATCTTGTTTTTTCGTGTCAGAATGATCTTTCCCGATGTACATGAAAGATCATTCTGATACGAAAAAACAAGATCACAAGAATGTGACAGAATTCAAAAGCTTTATCGTAACCCATTTTTCCGAAGCACATAAAAGATCATTCTGAAACGAAAAAACAAGATTCCAAGATTGTGACAGAACTCAATACTTATTCGTTACCCATTTTCCCGAAGTACAAGAAGTTCGTGACCAGCCGCCAAATCTCATACTGCTGCAAGACGAGCTTGGGATTCAGATACAAACTGTATGGCGATAGTATCTGAGAAAACAATCAATTCAAGCATCCATCAAACGAGTACCCCGTCAACCTAAGAATATATGATGGACAACCTAATAAAGAAGGCATACAAGTGCCAACCATTCGAAACTCCTTCCAAGAAATCGCTAATATTCAAGAACGAAAGGGGTGCGAGAAGCATCGACAAGCAACAATGAATCTTGAACCCTAACCCTTCACCGAACGGAGAGATCGGAGGAAGAAGAAAAATAAGAAGAAGAAAAGATACCTCGATCGAGCACCCGAGGGTAGTGGCGACGGCCGCAGTGAGGTACGATCTCGTGATGAGGGGCATCTGCTGGTACCATTCCTCCACCGCTTGCGCCATTTCCAAAAACACCGAGTCGGAACCCAACAGAGAAGGTGGGAAGGAACGCACGCCTCGCAATCCACAAGCCAAGAAGCCAAAACCCAATCGTGAAATTGGTTGAGGGTGAGAGACGCGTTGAAGTACCACAAGGTGGACCGGATCGAGTTGGTAGCGAACCACATTAAATATGTCCATGGCAACGGCGTTGCCAGAGACACGTGGAACCCATCAAAGGAGTGCTAGTGAAACTTAATCAGGTTGGATCGAGTCGGTTGCTTCTTGAACCGAACACATCGACTCTCTCTCTCTCCCTCTCTCGCACAACAATGCTACTTAATCGAGATACTTAATTTCAGAGAATAGTGGACTCTGATACTTATATCAATGATTACACTCAAACTCCACTTTACTTATACCACCCCAATAGTTGAATCAGAAAACCCCATGCACTTGAGTATTGTCCTTTGTTGTAATTCAACAAGCAAGACTAAATGGTCATGAGAATTCCAATATATTACTTCACACTAAGATATGCAAACCGTATCGTACCAGTGTTTCGATGTTGACTCGGTATGGTACGATACCGATGTATCGAGTGATACACTAGGGTATACCGAGTGGTACACCTTATACCGAATAATTTTATATATTTTCTTTATTACTGTAGCACTATAGCACTACTACAATATAGTACTATAGCAATATAACAATACTACAATGTAATACTGTAGCACTATAACGATATCGGACGGTCCGTGTACCGGTATGCTGTCGGATCGGTACGTACCACCCTGAGTGGTACAATTTGGTACTGCATACCATACTTCACACTATTCTAACTTCGTTGTTGCAAGAGAAATAGATAGCCTCGCATCAAGTAACATAGAAAGAAAGGAAGCAATGATGCACTCTAACCTGCGAACTACAACAGCAAGCCAAGCACCTTTCCTAGAATGAATTGAACCGACTCACTACTTGGGGCTGTACTTCAGCAGAGTTGCAGAAGCCAAAGTGCGTTAGCTTATGTTTATTTCAGGCTCTGGCTAATGTGAGTTTGCCGATGTAAGAACCAAAAAAACAAATAATAAGCAGAATGCAGGTAAAGCAGAGTCGAAGCTAGCCGTAATAGGTGTTGTTACCCAAAAGAACTCACTATCGGCACACAGAACATTGCTGGTTGGAATCAATCAGCAGTCTTGTCACTCAATTATATTATAGGATAACTCTCCAATTCAATTCTTAAAGCAATTCGGGTTATGCATTTGATTCCGAAAGACCAGATGAAATAGCTCCTCATACATTGCAGCAACAGCACTTAAGGGAGAACACCTTAAGCTCTTCTCCTCTCCGCACTAAGCCCAACTAGAGGCACATTCATGTGCACAGGCAATTCAATTCAAAATAGCATTCTCCTACTGCTACTAGTCCTAGTAAAGAGCGACACCATCTGTTCTAGCAAACCAAGGGAGATCCAAGCAGCAAAAACAAGAGGCTTAAAAAGAGAGTGCGTTTCAATACAAGAAATGCCGATTCTGATTTGAAACCACACCTTCCCATCTGCTTAAACCAACCCTTGGCTTGGTCTGCAGCTTCTGATTCAATTGCTAACAAGCCCTTCGTGGCAAAGGAGAGCCTTTGATATTAGTCCTACCGTGGCCTAAAGGAAAAGTAAAACTACTCAGGCTTCAGAATATACCTATTGATACAGACTACAGCAGGTTATAGTGATGAGAGAAGAGAGTCGAGAACCTGCAAGTGAGGTGGACAGAGGGGACCGAAGTATCTCCAAAGAAAGAAAACCCGCATCGACAACACAGCGGGCATCGACACCGGCAGCATAAACCTTCGTGTTTCTTTAATGTCCCGTCTTTTCTTGTTCGCCGAGTTCTAAGCGGTCACAATTAACATATATCAGATTTCACACCACCAACCCAAAAGCTTAAGCTTCTAGGTTGTCGATCAAACCAAATCAGATTCTCTCGATTTTTATCGTCTTCCTTCAATCTTCACACATCAAAATTTCGGAACAGAGAATTGCAAGATTCTTTCCCACTCCTTATTCCCCACGATGAGCCCTCTTCGGTTTCTTCCAGCGCCATCGAGATCGCTGTTTCACGATGACGCATTCATTTATCCAAGAGAATCGAGTTTAGCAACAGTGGCAAACATGAATCTTGAACCCTAGCCATAAATCGAAAAGAAGAGATGAGAAGAAAACATATCTCGAGTGAGAACCCGACGGAGGTGGCAACGGCGGCGACGAGGTGCGATGAAGCGACCAATGGAATTGAGCCAGATCCAAAAACAACCGAATAGGAATCCTGAAGAGAAGGGGGAAGAAGCACGCCGCGCGATCGAAAAGCAACAAAACAGCCATAGCGACAGTTTTAACGGTGGAATTGGATTGGATTGACAGAAAAGAAGAAAGAGAAGGGAGAAAGGAAATCGGATCGAAACGAATAGGATGCGAGTGGCGTCGAAAACGACCGGCAACCATTGCCACGTGAAAGTGGCGGACGGGAACATAGACCGATAACAAATATAAATAGTAACTACTTCCGAGTAACGAGAGAAGATGAACGTCAACACATTCCTTCAACCTGTCAAACCAAACCGTCTAAAGATAAATAAATATAAATTACTTCTGTCTCAGAAGAGACCACATCATTGTGGTCACCGTAAATAATAAAAAGCTTAAAAGCTTTTAAAAGGTCTTAAAAGAGACCATCATAATAATATAGAAAATTAAAGAGATTTAGAGTAAGAAAAATGTTTCAATAGGTAAGCGTACAAAAAAGACAATGCAAGAAGGAGCTAACAACACCTAAACCACAAAACAAGGGAGACACCAAAAACAACACCTACTATGAGATTTTGCGAATGCAAATTCTCAAGTTGTCCACAAGGGGAGTACAGTATTTCTGAGGTACAAAGAGAATAGTTTCAGAAGAGGACTGGTTGTCCAATTGTTCAACAGGGGCATCGCATAGCCGAAACTCCAGTACATCAACCAACGACAAATCATACAGCCAATTTGTCCTTCGCAAGCATGATCGATTGGATACGACTGAAAAAGCTCGCCCTGAAGCTATCTCACCACTATTACGCAAGAGAAAGCAGGTATTAGTTTCATGATGAATAAGAAATATAGATTGGAAATCCAAGAACTCATAGAAGGGGCTCCCGTCGACGAACGAACGGGTTAGGAGGTGATGCTTTATCGTGGCGTGGATGATCAGTTCTTTAAAGGAAGCCGCATAGTTACAATCCGGAAACAGGCACGAGAAAGGAGCAAAGGTGCACTTCTCCGCGTGCTCCTGCTGCTTAATGTAAGCAACAGTTTCTTCGCAACCAAACGAGGCATGAGGGCAAGAGATCATCACGGATTCCATCACGTTCTCCAGAGCTAGATTTCGAGCGTAACTTAGGAGAGATTCACAGGTGTGGCATATATGACGAAGCTTCTCGTAGCATGGATGGCATGCAACATGACCATTTTGGCACTGAGAAAAATTACAAGAGATGACAGTATAAAACCATCTCCGTGAAGCTCACCTGTACACAACAGGATTGCTACAGACTAAAACAACCACCGATAGTCATGAGAGAAGAGAGATAAGAACCTGGTAGATAGGTGGCAACAGCGGGCCGAAACATACTATGCATTCCAGAACCCGGAGGGCAATGCTGCCGGTGTCGACGCCCGTGTCGTTGCTGTTGCGGCTTTTCTGGCTCCCTGCTGCCTCAGAGGGAGCAGTAGATGCATGTTCTACCTTCAATTTCGATTTCGATTTCGATTTCGATCCCGAGCACTTGGTAGCAGCAGCTTGCCCTCTCTTGCTCCTGGTGTACTTCTCCATGGCTGACAGGCGCCGAAGATGCAAATGCAACTGAGCAAGGATGATGCAAATATACTACTCAAGACGACTGCATGTTACTTGTGACTTCCCACTTTTCCATACGGGAAACCTGCAATAGCAGACAAGCATCATGACCATGAATCGATTGGAGAGTCGCCTCGTTTCCAGTTCAGAATGGCCCCTTCATATCCTCAAGAGACTCGTGTTGCCAAGCCTCGCACGCTTGATCAGTGTAAAGAAGGTACAAATAGAAACAGAAAGCTGAACACATTGCACATATAAATAAGATACGACACCTGAGCACTACGTAGTGAAACTTACAACAAAACTTCTACGTGAAATGATCCCCCCCAACTCCCATGCTAACGATGCTCTTTCACCAAACTGTGCTTTGTTATTATGCATCGTAATTCTTACGGTAACCTGCACTTTCACTGCATGTAGTTTCCTGTTCCATATTTCCCAAAAACGACACCTCATGGCGCACTTGGATTCTTCAGGCGTGGCCTCGTTTGCTGTTTCAAGATGGCCCGTTCGTATACCCCAGAGATTTGAGTTTTATCTGTACTGGAAACAGATGTCTTTATTGCATATGCATGCATCCATTTGTCTATCTTTTACTTTCGTTCAAGTATCATATAACAACATATGTACTAAACGCTTCCAATGCAACTCGGAAAAACCTTTGTTGATCGAACTGTTTGCGGGTCTGCAAAACATTTTATTGTGATCAATAACTATGATTGGATAAAACTTATGTAACCAGCAGACCAAGAGAGTGATGAGGTCACAAGGCAAATTAGTGGTAGGACGAGAATCCAAGCATCCTATTTGTGATATTTCCAACAAAAAAGAGGAGAGCTTTGTAACGCCTAGAATTAACCTCTGCAAAGTTTTGCTTGATCGTACTGATAGTTCATCTGACACTCAATTATATTGATCTTATCCGACCTGCCAACCACGGTTTATAGTCACATCAGCGTCAAGGTCAATATAACAGACGACGCCCCCCGGTCAATGTCGTTCCGCAAAGGTTGGACGGCACTGACTGAGTACACCGTCGTCCCACAAATATCGAGACGACGCCGTCTCGCAAAAGTTGGGACGGCACCCGAGGACGGTGCCGTCCCGCAAAGATCGAGGCAGTGCCAACCAAGTACAGCGTTGTCCCGCAAAGATCGAGACGACACCGACTGAGTACAGCGTCATCCCGTAAAGGTTGGGACGACATCGAGTGTGACTGAGGACGTCCAACGTTTACTTCAGGAGTAAGCCCACCGCCCGATGGATCGACAACCATAAATATGATAGGTACGATCGGTCCTCGGGCTGAAGGATAAAAATCATCGCGGGACCGACGATTGGAGATCGGTTCTTGGCTCATTTTCCGCCCAGTTCTAATAAAATCTTCGGAGGGGTCAAAGTTGGGAGTCCCCTTCCCAACCCTGACATGTGTGTAGGGATAAGCGATAGAGAGGAAGACGACCAACCAAAAGAGAGTCTCCAGATCTTGAAGCCAAAGCTCAAGCCCGACCCCATCGGACGACGACTCCCACCGCCCAAGTACCGACGTGGATAATCTTGCACGCCATGCTAACCCCTCAGCAATGGTGTAAAGGATCACTATCAACTACCAATTCAAAGAACCAGAGTTCGGATATCGTCTTCCACATTAGAGCAAATGGGGCTGGAAATAATTAGAGAAGATGGTTTGATGCTGAACACGGGAGAAAATTATTTCCCTCAAAGCCTTAAGCAAAATGGTCATCTCCTCACATTTTAAATGAAGTTGGGTCCGCTGGAATAAACGTAGTTGCGACACTAAATTGGAAGACACGAAGTATGATGGAACATGTTTTTATTACGATAATAACTAGCTATAATGTTTTCCAACCGTTTGAGATGAGCGAAAGTGACGACAATAAATCCTAATTTGTTTAAATCGTAGATCTCTCTCGATTTAAAGCGAGCTTATCAGGATGGATTTATGATGGTTGATATCAAAGCAAATATAATAAATGAGATTTGAGTGGACTGTAGATGAAGGCCTCAACTTCCTGCCAACGCGCATCGCACACGGTGGCATGGGATTAGGTAAGACCGTCCAGTGTTATCTTCCCTGTACATGCAGTGCAGGTGACCGGAGCTCACAGGCCTAGCTTGTAATTACGGCCGATAGAGCAACAAAGCTCCGTCCAGAAGTAGTGTTTATCCTTAAAACCATGAAAGAAAAAGAAGGATCCCATGAAGGCTCCGATTGATATTCCAAGTTTGGACTGAGCATGAGCTGGTGGCACATTTATTATTATGGCTGTGGGGGAGATGACCGCTTGGAAATCTATCGGTCAGCACGTGCTGGCCGTCCTCATGCGGCTTCTCGATTTCATGATATCCACAGAGTTTGGTCACTTTACTTCCTTCAAGAGTCGCAAAAGACTTTTAAGTTCTACCTGCAACTAACAAGCTGCACATCGCAACCCCCACCCCCATCGCCAAAACCACCAGTCTTCGGTCAACTCTCTCCCTCCTCGCCTTTCAACCACAGCATCCCTTCAATCTCTGTACCCACTTCCCTCATCCCCCATTCACACTATATATCCTCCAACTCTCTCCTTAGCCTTCATCATCTCTCTCTCTCTCTCTCTCTCTTTGGTCTATACCTACAACAATGAGGAGTCCTTGTTGTGAGAAGCAAGGCAGCAACAGGAGAGCGTGGATAAAAGAAGAGGACAAGAAGGTCGTCGACTGCATCAGAGTGCATGGCGGAGCCAGTTGGAGATCAGTACCCCGGGGTGCAGGTCGTCGGTCGACAAGCACATACAGCTTTTTATCATGAGGTGTAGCTTACGTTCGCTCGACGGCTAACCTTTGAGACTGTTTCTTGGACAGGACCTCTTCGACGCGGTCAGAGTTGCAGGCTACGTTGGAGCAATTGCCTCCGTCCTGATGTGGGAGGAGGGTGCTTCGAGGAGGACGAAGAGGACCTCATCATCAAGCTCCACGCTTTACTCGGCAACCGGTATGCTTAGTGTTCCAGACTGGCCAAAGAAGAGTGTCGAATTATCTTAAGAGTAACGATCTTTCTCGTCCGTGATTTGATTGTTTTAGGTGGTCGTTGATAGCCGGGAGACTGCCGGGACGATCCGACGACGAGATCAAAAACTACTGGAACTCTCATCTGAGGAAGAAGCTCAGAAGCATGGGTGTCGATCCGGACAACCACCGGGTGACCCAGAACGTGCTGCTCCGTCGATCCCAGAGCTCGCACAGTGCAACTCTATCGAGCACCAACGACGCCACCAATGAGCGGGTGGAGTGCTGCTGGCGCTTCAACCCCGCGACGGAGGGCCACCGGGTTTGCTACGCCGACGGACGTCCGGAGGAGAACTGCAACGGCGGGTTGCCCGATCTGAACCTTGACCTTACCATCTCCCTGCCATCTTCGCTTGTAGAGAAGAGACCAGGCTCGGAGGATTCGACCGACCCAGCACGTCTCGAGAACCCAACGCTCCTCCTCTTTCCATAACTCGGTTGCACGTACGACGTGGAGTGATGGTGCAGCGTACGAAGGTCTCGGTTATGGAGTAGCGGAGAAGAGGGCTGCGGTTGCTGAGCAGCGGAGGCACTACGTACAATCTGACGTGTACTGTTCGATTCTATTGTAGCTTAAATATATTATTTTTATCCCTCAAGTATCTCCGAAAAATCAACGAATAGATGGGATCGATTACATATGAAGTCATAAACTTTGTCGTTCAAGAACGAGTACAAATGATCGGAGAAGCAAACGAACATGATCGTCGACGTCGCATACGGAAAACGTCCTCCGTTCTCTGTGTGCGTGTGCAAGCGTCGTCCGACTGTACGTATCTTGGAGCGTATAAATTGGCAGCAAGTAGATTTTGAAGGTTAATGTTGGATCTTTACTTGCGAAGGGTAATGTTGATGCGAACCTACCATTCCTTGTGCTTGCGTACCACATGACCTTGATTTTTCTACAGTCGTGATGGCTTTAAGAAGCTAAAATTTAGGTGCATGGATGATGGAAGATGAAATTAAATACTCCGAATCGCATGCCTCTTCTGAAAAGCGAGAGTTATTAAAGAGGATTTGCCATTAAGAGCTTGGTCTCTTTTCGGGACCAAGTGGGGCATGCAACATTAGTTTCAGATAAAGCCAAGATTGATATCCTTATGATCATCCGAAGGTCCCATGTAGGAAGGAAGGAAGGAACACACTCCACAGTGCTTCTGCATGCATTAGTTCTCCGGTCTGTGACGAACATCATCGTAATTAAAAAGATGGAAAGAAATCAAAGCCTTCGTTCTTTTTTCTTTTTGTTATTCGAGCGAGCTGTAGATAAGCATGCATGAGGGACCAGCCCTCGTCCGAGTGTCACTGTTCTCCAACCTGGCCATGGTGACACTTGACTGGAGGCCATGCCCCCCCACAGACTGTGCTGCCTCTTCTATCTTGTGATGACGGCGACCGTGGAATAGAAATCAGACCGTGGCTCTCTGTCTGCAACGAATGGATGGAACCTGGAACTTGGAACTGAGCACCCACCATACGATCGAGTTCATGTTGGACGTCTGATGTCGACGAAGAGGCAAAGTTCGAAAGGAACATGTGGAGTACCTAAAAGTCTTAACCCTTCGCTTGGCTGCAACTTGGAATGGCAACATGAGATCAGCATGTAAAGCTCCTGATATAAGGGGACACCGATTGTGCTCAAAAATTTTAATGTCGATGTGCATTGGAAGAATGGATGAAAGCTTCTCCAGCACGGGCTATGATGTGGATGTTCTCACAGGACCGGACTTGTATGCGTGGGGTCCATGCGACTGTCGCATGTTTCATCTAGATTGCGAGAGACGGACCATTCATATGACTCATCGTGAAGGATGTTAGGATGATCGGTTCCTCCACCTAACATACAAACCACCTGAATATATAGTACAATCTTTATATACCTTTGAATAGCGAATAGCGCATCTCCTCCTCCTGCGAGTGCGGTAGATGTTGTCTCTACCATCGATTTCAAGTGTTATTTAGTTATATATTCTGGATAACAGGAACGAATAAATAACAAGTAACTGCTGACCTTCAAACTCCTGGCAGGGTTTTTCTTTTTTTTTTGGTTTCTCAATTTTATTCTTTGGTCCTCTGCAACTTAGCATTTTAATTCCTCCAAATATTTAGATTTCATGTATCCCTTCAAATATTTATGTTCTTCTAATTTATCACCCCTATTAGCATTCATGAAGTAAATTTAGACTAAACAAACATTTAGTTTGAAAATTCTTAAAATTTTAAACATCCGAAGCGCCCATTACATTTCACCAATTATGACTCATAATTTTCTAAAATTAAATTTACAATAATAATAACATGCAATTTATTAATTTAAGAGGAATATATATATATATATATATATATATATATATATATATATATATATATATATTCTTAAAAGATGTTTAGTCTAATTAAAATGTTGACATTAATATGCCACCAATCTTACAAATTGTAAGTTTGTTAGTTTTGTATGACAAATTTACAATATGAAATCAGTAATTTTAAAGGAATATATATGTGTAATTTTATAATTTTAAACTGCTATAGTTCTGAATAAAGTTTTCCCTTCTTAAATTAATAAAATAATAATGAAAATTATTATCTCTTTTTTGTTTAATTTCACTGTTATTATCAAAATCCAACACAAAGAAAGGGTCGTCCCATTCTCATACCTGTGTCACAACTATCTCGTGAAGAACATTTCATATTAGCGCATGATCCAAAGCATGAAACCCTGCACACTCACATGATCTGCCTACCTTTCAACCTGTAGCATTCCCAACACCAAGTATAACAAGCCAAGGCTTCACCGGCTCGGGAACAGGAAGCACACATCACCAGAAAACGAGGCCTTCCCTGGAGAGAGAGGAAGATGCCGGAATACTGTGTGACCGGAGGAACAGGTTTCATTGCGTCCCACCTCATCAGAGAACTGCTAAGCAGAGGCCACACTGTCCGGGCAACGGTCAGAGATACAGGTATATCCAACTAGCTCTTTGTCTTTACGACTCGACAAGGCCTCAATTATCTCCGTGACCGAGTTGTTCCCTCAGAGGACGTGGCCAAGGTTGGGTTCCTATGGAGCATGGGTGGAGCCAAGGAGCGGCTGAAGCTGGTGAAGGCAGACCTGCTGGTGGACGGAAGCTTCGACCTTGCCGTTGACGGCGTTGACGGTGTCTTCCACACTGCATCACCTGTCTTTGTTCCGCAAGACCAAAACGTCCAGGTCCACGCACGCACACTGAACTCCATTGTTGTTCCCTTCTTGTTGATTGTGATCTGTGAGTAGACTGCTAAGGGAAAATTTTGACAAAATATTCGTCTGTCTTCTCCGATTAAACCTCGGTAGATCCCCCGACTAGTGGGTCCTTTGTGCTTTCTCCAAGATGATCGGCGACAACACTGCGCTAGGTCCTCCTCGTTGGTCTTTATCATGTTAGGATATAATACCTGGTAGCTGTATCTGTCAAGCCTCTGCTGAACGAGTTCTTCCTCCAAACCGGTGATGGTCACTGCGCTGGTTGGATTATAACTGGAGAGAGTGAGAGAGTGAACCACTAAAGTAAAAAGATATGCACCAATGTCATGCTAGTCTCGACTGTTCTATAGATCTAATACCGATAAGGTTCAATTGTTGGCAGCAAGCTCTGATAGATCCAGCCATACAAGGCACTAAGAATGTGCTCAAATCCTGCTCCAAAGCAAGCTCGGTGAGGCGTGTCGTCCTCACCTCTTCCTGCTCTTCCATCAGGTACCGATATGATGTCACTCTGGTTTCCCCACTCAACGAGTCACACTGGAGCGACCCCGAATACTGCAAAAGATACAATGTAAGCCTTCTCATATTCCTGACATGTTTTCAGCAGTGTGCTTTTCATGATACCCAAAGAGCTTGCTCATCTATCTGGGAAGAACACTTCCGAACAACTCTTTGCAGCTGAATAATTTGTATATGGCATCTGGTTCCCAGCAGATGGCCAGGCCCACCAAAAAAAGGGTCCTTCCCTGCAAACGATTCCTGGCCAAAACAAATATGTGTTTGCAGGGAACCCGGATGCCCAATGCAAGTTAGTTAACTGACAAAGAACTGATGAGAAGTTTTAGCTTGTGTCAGTAGCATATCGGCAAACTTCACATCCAACTGCGATGAGCTCTATCTGTATGTGATGGATGTCATTGAAACAGCACAAAACTCTGGGTCTACCCTTTATTAATTTAAGCATCTCCAAATGGCAGCTGTGGTATGCATATGCGAAGACATTGGCTGAAAAGGAAGCATGGAGATTAGCAGGGCATTTTGGCATCAATCTAGTGGTAGTGAATCCATCTTTTGTCGTCGGACCATTAATTGCACCACGACCAACGAGCACCCTCCTCCTCATACTCTCCATCTTGAAAGGTAAATACACCTATGTTCCAATTTCATGCTCTGAATCACAAACATCACGCAAACACTTAAGTCTTGCTCTGTTAAAACCTGACCATCTTCTTAAAGGAAATATTTCCTGGTACCCGAACACAACCGTGGGATTTGTTCACGTTGATGATGTAATCTTCAGCCACATTCTTGCCATGGAGGACAGCAGAGTCTCTGGAAGGCTCATTTGTTCCGGTAGTGTTGCCCGCTGGTCGGAGATCGTGGAGATGATTAGAGCAAACAACCCATCTTATCCGATGCCATCCAAGTGATACTCTTTTGTTGTTCCCTGATTGTTTTAGTTATCAGGAGATGCCTCCTGAGTCAATATTACTGACATCGAATTGGAACCGACAGGCGCAATGACCAGGAAGGTGACAGCAATCCACACAGCATGGACACTACCAAGATCAGGGAACTCGGGCTTCCATGTTTCAAAACTCTCCCACAGATGTTTAATGACTGCATCAAGAGCTTCCGAGAGAAGGGACTCCTGTGAAATAAGATGGCCAACACAAGGGATATCAGTGAAATAAGGTCCTTGAAAGTGACACATCACAGCCAATTAACATGAAAAAAAACCATAGTTTAGATATCCACTTAGCCTCGGATGCTATGATGCTTTCATCTATTTTTGTTTAAAAATCTTGGTGTGACTTCTTTTCTAAAAATAAATTCTAAATAATCACTGGGTTTGGTATTGAATTTCTTCTTCGATTAATGGCTTTGGTAATGTTAGAAAATGAGGTGTGAACTTACAAAGTCATAATCTCAAAATGAGACTTGCAAAGAAAAAACATGAACATTATTTTTACCAAGTAAATGAAGGTTGAACGACAGCCTGTACTTCTGAAAATATCCATACACACCAATAATGGTATCACAAAGGCCTTCACTCAAGTACTCATTGGAACGGTAAACTAAACAATCTGTATACAGACGTCCGGAGACCAAATATTATCATCACATCTCACAGCAAAGACCGATTGGAAGACTATGCTATTCTCTGCTTTTCAATTTGTATTTTCTGTGTCTCATAATGCATTCAAGCAATTTGGTAAAGCTTTAGGAAGACAGTCACAATAAAGTCAGATAGAAAATGAAGATGCCTAATCATCTATTAAGCACAAGGGGGCCTTGTCTGGTTAGTCTGAACTGATTAAGTGCTCAAACCAAAAGGAACATGGCAACAGCTCTACCAGTCAGCTCCGACTAGAATCCATAGTCTCTAAACATTCAAGTCTTTGACAAGTAGGTGAATAGTATTATCAAGGATGATTCAAAAAGATCATCTCCAGATTATAATATCAAATCATTTCTAAGATATCGAGGACTCTTTGACATCAAGGTGACACTCATGCTACTTTTGGATAGCAACATTAAAAGAAACCGAGTACGATTGCAGGATCCATCTAAAATCTCTCTAGACATCTTCAAGGATGATCGGAATAAAGCGAACAAACCATTCAGATGATCAGAATAAAGCGAACATAAGAAACCGAGTACGATTGCAGTCTCCGAACAAACCATATCAGATGGTCATACATCTCTCAGTAAATTGACATCATAACGTACATATAAAAAATAGGAATCTCACGTAACTCATGGTCATTTGAGAAACCTGACTGACATGATCACTATTTCATATTTATGGAAGCAATCAAGGGAACTCCTGATTGATCGCAGCAGGAGTGAAATTCTAAGGAACGAAAAGCAAGCCCTGTTCCCTCGGATCTGATGGCCTCTCTACACCGGTAGGTGGATGGAAAAGGTCTTGCCAAGAAACCAGTGTTTTTCCACATGAAAGTCAAGCACAATGAACACAGGAATGTATGCAACCCCAGTCTCAATCCTATGTGCTACGAAAACATGCCCAATTAGTTGGTTCTTTTCTTTCCATTGTCTCTACCACAACATCTAACTGCTCTGTTGACTTTAGTGAGTAAAAGCATTAATTTAACCTCAGAACAATAACCAAGTGCTACCACATTGACAACAAACAAACTCAAGCAACACCTAACATGTAGGCCTTGATTATGTGTATTCACAAAGCCTTCACCCTCATGGCTGCAAATTAGGTGCCTCGTTTGAATCTTGCAAGAACACTCTCTCATAATATAAGTTCTTGGACTAATGAAGGAAACATAGAACGCTTTCTCGGATCTTGCTAGAAAATTATGGTTTTTCACTTCTTAAAAAGTGTTTGGTTGTCATTCCAATGTATAGAATAATAACTTGGGCACGAAGCATGGATTCTGATGTTGTATTCTGGTACGCCCAGATACGGACCATATGGTCACTCAGTTGCGTAGGACATAGAAACGAAAAAATATATATTATACATGTATAGTATGGTAATAACTGTACTCCTTATAATATTATATATATAAGGGACCCTGATATTAATTTATTCTTGATGTGTGTTATACATGAAAAATAAATTAGAACAAGTAATAAACAAACACTCGTAATCTATGCACTGGACAAGTTATATTCAATAAAATTATGCTGAAAAGCTGCAGCAAAGATGACAAGAACTAAAAATAAACATGCTGATCCAAACAAATGACATCAAACAACAAATATGGAATCATAAATCCATCTCATACATCATTAAAAGATCAACATCCAACAATAAAATTTGAAAAACATATACACGCGCAACGTCGTCCCAAAAGCTAAACATAATTATAAAATAGCGTACCTTAAGGAAGAACCATCATGAATCTAGGAAATATCCTACGCCCATTTGTATCTCCTGCATATTTTGCACGGCAATATTTCCTCAACATTCTGTCACACAAAAAAAAAAAAAGGCATCCACACTGTTTAGATAGTACTATGAGAAATTAGCATTGTCCTTAAATGACTTTCGCTCACTTCAATGCATCTTTGTTGTTATTGAGACTTTTGCCCCTTCATTTGTCAGTTGTGTCAACGTTAATTCGCATTGCAATACAATGGCATGCATCTGTGATGGTTGGCAATTTAGCCAATATTATAGCTTTATTTATAGCTACAACTACATTTATAAACCAGGCACGAAGATCTACTAGATTGGTGAACTTAATGAATACTAATCAAAGTACCAAGTTCCAGGCCTATCGTGCCTTTGTTCCCAAGGAAATTAAACTTGGCAATAATAGAGGCATACCAATTGGAGTGGAAGATTAAAATTCAAATACAGGAAGATCGTGCCTCCTAATCTCTCTCGGATATCAATCATCCGACTGCTGCGATGGTGCTAAGAATACGCAGATGACAACATACATTAGGTTGTGTGTATGAGGAGACAGAAGGGTCGTTACCTCGATGGGGGCTACGATGGGGAAGTTGAAGGCACCGAGGGAGGAAGCGCCGCCGCCAGAGAAGTGGGAGGACGGCGCTCGATTTGCACACAGAGGAACGGCATCCTCCATCACTTCCGCACACGATCGGGAAAGCCCGTTACAGAAAGCTATAACGTCTGTAAAATGTACGGTGCGGCGTTGTGATCGCAATATATCATAAACGAAGCATTGTAACAGCACGCGGGTACGTATACGCAATGCTAAGTAACATATTGTCGAATTTTATTGTTATATACTATACTACTCGTTCTTTACGGCGGCAGATTTTTGAAAAACTTCTCTACTTTTTCAAAAAAAAATTTACAGACCTTCATTGTTTTCAAAAAATTTATAAAATATTATTATTTTTATAAAAAGATATTTTTTTCCCATTCTCTATTATCATTTTACGACGATCATGATTGGTCACCTTCGTTGATGACTTTGGTGGCGGGATTATGGGTAAGAAAGGAGAGGTTGTGAGGTTATCATTATCTCCATCGTCACCTGAACGAATGGGTACGGCAGACGTTACAGACGTTGTCATCTTCACTCGTTCTCACCTTGGCAAGAGTAAGGTTGATGACGACAACAATAAGGGAAGAGGAGAGGAGAGGGTGGACAAAGACGATATGTTACAAGAGTAATATTATTATTTTGAGAAAAAAAAAACTCTATGAGAATTTAAAAAAAAAAAAAGAGATGCTAACCAAATTTTTTTTAAAAATAGAGGGTTTTTTTTCAGAAATTTGCCCTTCTTTTTTTTAATAGAAAATACGAACCACCTACTTATAAATCTACTAAATATGGTATATATATAATTCATTTTTCATTTTCCTTTCACTTTGTTTTTTGCAAATAAAAATCTATCAAACGCGAAGTTGGATATAGATTATTTCCCTAAGGAAATAATATTATTCACCTTTTATTTTTTATTATTAGGGTCCATATGAACGTATGCAGAACAAAATTACATGTACATTTGATAAGGGGTGAGTCATGTTATGTTTCGGTGGTTGCCACATAAACTTAACTTGATGTTACTTTCGATACCTAATCTTCGATTGAGCTCCCCACCTTGATTTTAATGCTTGTGACAATCTCCACCCATTGGTGTAAGAGGCTCGATTGAACCACCACAACCTTAGATTCTAATGCTTATGACAATCTCCAACATTGAATTCGTGTTAACTCTGACCTATTATATATCTCGGACATAATCTTTAGCAACAACACCTTTATAATCAAAGGTTTCATATCTAATTTTTTTAATTCGATATTAGTGTTTATATCGCCATAAGCCCATCAACGTACATATTTTCTTTATATTTGTTATCATTAGTTGGTTATCAAAGTAGATCTATATACGTTCAATAAATATAATAAAAATAATAACAATTGATGATTGTTTAATTAGTATCTCTTATATAATTTTTATTATTAGATAACTAGTGACATAGACGTCGGTTAATCATCAATTATGAAAGAAAATTCTGATGACTATTTATATACTAAATATAGTATCAATATAGTATCAAGATGTCAATAATATATTTTTTAATAATTAAATATATCCTCTAATTAGAACTAAAGACGTACATCTAAGTTAGACAAAATCGAACTATCAAATATGCCACATTAGCTTAATATTTTCTTAATTAGCTTATGGTTAAGGAGGATTGACTAACTATAAAAGGGGCACAAAAACGGAAGCTCTTATCCTTTTCTTTGTTTCTACTATCTAATCTATTTTAAGAGTTCGACATTGATCTTAGTCTAAATCGATGTCACATCGAGACATACAATAACTCTTTACGTGAGACCAAAGGCTCTAGCATAAGTCGGATCCTAATAGAATTACTTATAATTCATTGCCAACATCATCCCCTAATAATATTCTATTAAATTTAAAATTATCCTTTCTCTCTTTCTAACTAAAAATCTTACTTAATCTTCTTCGATTGACTATCGACATAAGGATATTGAAATTCAAAGTGATATTAATACTCTCTTAATAAATATTTAAAAATAGGTAAGTCAAACAATTACTGAGACTATCGAAGGATATTTGATGTATATAACATTTAAGAAAAATAGTAACAATCATGAGTAATAGTAGTTATTTTATTTTCCATGGGCACGTGAGGTGTCAGCATGGCTCGGTCCAATCCTAGATGCGCAAGGTTGCCCATGCGGATACTTGGGTCACGTCGACGTCGAGTCGAGTTAGGTCCAAGCGTCATCTCTCACGTGCGATTCTCCCTTGACGAGTTGCTGTTGTTTCGTTGTCAATTCCTGCACAATAAATCGAGGTCGGGAGGAGGATTTCTCGACTCGACCCTTTCAAAGTTCAAGTCAGTGTCGTGGAGTTAAGAGGAGTTAAGTGTCCTCCCTTCCTGATCAAGAAAGGGTTAGTTTTTATACCTGCAAGAATGAGTTGGTCGTACAGGATCAATTAACTACGGTTGGTTTCTCGGGTAGCCGGCTTAAGCTTTTGTGCGAGCGCCAATCAACCTACACGGATCGGCATTGCGCAACGTCGCCCAGAGCTTTTCGGGACGACTATACCATGATTATGTCATTCGTACGAAGGGGGCGACTAGTGACTGTTTGCCACGTGTGTGCTACGCGTCACATCGGATTTGAAGTTTCATGTTTGTATCGTCGTGTCTATTTGTCTGGATCCACATGGGCGATACCAAAATATGTCATATCAATATTAAATATTTAAGTCTTTATTAAAATTTTTAAAGAGATATGCATGTAATAAATTTGGAGGTCCATTTCCCAAAGTTGCAAAGAATAAAGATGTAAAACCTCCTCAAATTTATTATAGCAAATATAATATTTTTGAACTCGCAAAAACATTTTAAGAAAAACATATTCCGGACCGACGCGCGACTCGGTTTAATCGGGGACACAAAAAAAGGCCGGGTCGAGACGAGAAATTGGGGGAAGGCCACCAGCGCCGTTCCGATTCACCTCAAGCGTCGTTGTGCCCTACGAGAACGCCAGAAGACTTCGCCGGCGGCCGGCGTCCTGCGTCCGGTGATGAGAGCGATGGAGGACGGCACGGCCCCTCGCGAGCGACCTCCTGCTCAACATCGCCCTTTGTTGGATCACCGGAAGCGGAAGCACCAAGCCGAAGGCGGCCGCAGCGACCCTGCCCACAATGCCAAGCGGCGGCGAACTGGCGGCCGTCCCGACGATGGGGCTCGCCAATGGGTCTTCTCCCCTCGAGACTTATCCTCTTTCAAGGGTAAAAAGATATGCTCCTCGCTGCTTCTTCTTCTCCCTTTTTACAGCAGTTGAGGCTTCTAGGGTTAGGACATCGGTTTTTGAATCTGTGGCCTGTTTGAAGTTTCAGTAATACAGTCGTAAGTGTTGCGTAGCTTCATTCCTCTCGAATAAAGCGACAATTTATTAATTGAGGTTGACAACTAATACTTTTAGAAGCTTTTTTTTTTGTCACTGCCTTTTATAACATATACGACGACTTTGATAGTGGATATGCGCCTTTTATCATTACCAAAAGATTGTAGTGATAACCTTTTCTTTTCTGTTTTCAATACTGATGTCTGAAGAAGCTTCTTGTATCTTGCAGAGAGGTTTGTAATTGTTTCCTACAATATATTGGGAGTTGAAAATGCTTTGAAACATTTGGATTTATATGATTCGATTCCTTCAGAATGTTTAAGTTGGGACTTGCGGAAAAGGCGAATGCATAAGGAATTAAGATCATATAACCCAAGCATTTTGTGCTTCCAGGTAAGCATTAACACCCTGTTGTACCTTTTTGCATGGTCAAATGTGTATCTACATAAAATTCACATACTCATGCATAAACATATACTGGTTTTTTGTGTGCAAACTCTTATGTACAGATATTGCCTATCATTATGTGGATGTAGATAGTTATAGTTGGAAAGGCAAATATTTTGGATTATACATGCTGAACAACAAGCTCTTTTTTTCATCTCAATTTGTGGCATATGAGTTACCTATGTTTTCTGGCAGAACTCTGCATAGTTTCTGTGGATGTACTCATGCCTTCTATATCTGTTTTGTGCTCTTTATCATTGAAGTGATAATTCTTATTTGTGCTTGATAAAATAAAAAGTATTATGTATTAAAAGATGATTTTACCTTCATATTTCATTACTAAACATTTAAAAAAAATGAAACCCAACATATAAAAGACAAAATCTATGTAAGATATCAACCAATCCACCTTTTGTGGATTTTGGCTTGATTGTTACTTAGTTATAGTTGTTCCTCCACAATCGTCAATTTGTTTTATCACATCCATCTGCTGTCCACAAGAACTCAAAACATCAGTATCTATGGCATAATACTTTTAGTTGCAAACAGGTAATTAATCCATCCACTTTTTTTAGTTTTGGGCTTGATAATAACTAAAGTTGTTACTCCATATCTTCAAGTATGACAATTATCATTGGACCACAGGAGGTTGACAAATTTGATGATTTGGCTGATCTTTTTCGCGAGGATGGCTATACTGGTATCTATAAGGTGTGTATTGGCCCCGGAGATTTTTGTAATTTGCATATGTTCCTGTGAACATTCTATATGTTGGTGTTTCAGCAAAGAACTGGGGAAGCAACTGATGGTTGTGCTATTTTTTGGAAGGAGAAAGAGTAAGTTTTGTTTTACTTTCTTGAGGATGATGTAGTATATAAAAGATGATATTGTGAAACTTGTATGACATATAATTTCTTGTGTGCTTAACTAAATAAAGGTGATACAGCATTTGTGTTAGTTTTGGTTTACAATGATCTGGCCATTCACTGATACAATTTGAGTAGTTGTTTTGAACAATCTTGTTATGAAAATACTGGCTATTATTCTGTAATAGGAAAACCTTCCGTGATGATTAATGAGCATGCTGATGAGAAAAATGTGCAATCTATATATTCAAAGTCATAGCAGCCTTCCAGGACCGTTGGTTAAATAGCTTGACCTGTGGCCCTTCTGAAAAGACCTTGCTTTGCTTGTTATTGTAAAGCAAGGGAAACATACATTTAAACAATCAAAGCAATCTAGTGACTGTTATACAATTCACTTGCTTAACATTTGCAAGCGATTTAGGCAGAAATGTCAAAGCATACCACTGCAAGCATTATTCATTTAACAAATATCTGGCTTACATTTAACAAATACTGCCTTTTTATGGGACAGTATTGGAGTTTTAGTACAGAAAATGTTTTCATTACTGTGAACTAGATAGCAGGTTATGTTGTTTCTGTAAGTTTTTCTTATATGGTTGACTAAAAGTTGTATAACGTTGCCTATAGTTTGGGATTGTGTCACTTGACCCTGTGGGCTGCTAATTTTCACCTCATAGATGGTGTAAGTTCACACTATCAGGTTTTTTCTTCATTCCTTTTTAAAACTAGAAACTTAGAAGTTATGAGTGGCTTGCTTGAACCTGAACTATAAAACCAATGAGGTAGGTTTCTTCATTAATTATATCAGTTGAGATTTATATTCAAGGCAGGTCATTTGGTAGCTTAACTCTTAGCATCATCTGTTGAGTTCAACAGAGGAATGTTAAAGTTGACTGTAATTTGATTGATGAGCTGATTGGGTATGAGATAATGCTTACTTGTTGGTGTGTGACTTTAACTTGTGCGAAAATGGATTTTTTTTTTTTAATATGTTTTCTGCCTGATCCATGGTACCCACACTAATTTTTTTTTTCTCATGATATGTTTATTTTGAGGGTAGATTTACTCTTTTGTACCAAGAAGACATAGAATTCCAAAAGTTTGGTCTTCGGAACAATGTCGCACAACTTTGCCTTTTAAAGGTATAGTAGATTCTTTGTGATAATCACAATGTTCTTATCTCAGTTTTTAATTTTACTTCTACCTCATTTTAATTTACTAATTCCAATGTGAGATGCTTTTTGGTTTGTTAAATAAAACTGAACTGCACATGATTTAGGTCATCACTGGCTTGTTCCATTTATCTACATTTTAGCTGTTGTGTGCTTATCTTCTGTCTTTCACTGCTGGATGAAAATTTTCATTTTCTTAAATTTTATATGATTGAATTATTAGTTTATATTTTGTGCATCTGCTTAAATACATGATAACATGAATTAAATCAGTATGAGATTATTGTCTTTATCTTTCGTGATTTATGGTTCATTTTGTCCCTTTTTTTAGGATGCTTATTCTGTAGCTAGTCTTTTGAAATGACCTGTCTTTTAAGACAACCTGTATCTTATATGTCTAATTGGATTTTCTTGAAGTTTTAGATCCTCTGGTAGATGATACTTATAGTTACATTGAATTTTAAATCTCGGTTCAAGTTATCCGTGCATATTGTTACACTTTCCTTTTGTTGCAAGTGTAAGCGAGTTGGATTTCCACACCATGTCCAAACTCCATATAAGAAGTTATAAATTGATACTTTCCAATCACCACTCAAGCCAGTCATAAATTGACATAGCTTTTCACATGCATAATCCACTATTTATTTGACCATGCATTCTTGAGTCCTGATCACAAGAATAATTGAGCTGCTTTTGTGTGGGGTTTAATTTTCATTTTGACCACTTAAATATATGAAAATTCTAATGCATTTTAATTTTCATTTTGACCACTTAAAGATTTGAAAATTTGAAGGCCTATGGTTGCTCATTCGAGTGCCTGTAACTCCCAACAATTGGAACAGAGTTTTTTGTGGTTTATGTATTGACCCACAGGTAGCATTTTGTGAGTTGCGTATTGAGTTCCTTCATAGCAATTCTCTAATCTGCATCAAATGAAATGATGAAAGATTGTGTTTCTAGTTTAACGAGTATATCTTTGTTAATTAATGAAGAAGGTTCTCCTTGGCTAATTGATGTGATTTGTGTCCTTTGGTTGATATAAATTCTTAAGTCTTTCGTTGTTGATTCTTTGTAAATGCACTCTACCAAATACAGATGGATAGTTTCTTTCTTCTTTCAAAGAGACTTTCACTGCACCACACTATTTTTTTCTAAGACTTTGCTTAATAGATGCTTTCTTTCTGTCATTCCATGGCTCTAGTTCTTTGATTGTAGATGAGGACAACATTCTTAAGGAACTGAAACTAAGGAGGAATCTGGTTTCCTCTAGTGTAAGCCAATAAGGCATTCACTGTTTTGGAAAGGCAAAATTTTGGTTGATATCTGAATATGCACTTTGGGCATTTCACCTAGTTTTTTCTGTGTATTCAATCTGTTTTTGTTGGATCATATTTTTATTTCTGCCTTGATACACAATTTAACCAAAAAGAACCAGTGAGAATGCTTCTTTATGTTGTTGTTAACTGTTGAAATGTGAATAGCCAATGAGATGTTGTACTGAGTGTACTCTTGACTTACCGACTCATCATGAATATCTTCCAAGTAATTCTAGGGAGGACAGTAGGTCAAGTGTTTTGGCACTCTTACCTACCTGACCTGCTTATGCCGGGTTGGATACCCGTGAAACAGGTATGGAACAATTATGAATTTGAAAATAGGCATTTGAGTTGGGCATGGGATTAGTTCATGTACCTAGATAGTTAATTGGGTCCCGGGATTGGTAGAGTGAAACTCACGGATAACCTGTCCATTGTCATCCATAGGTAAATAGCAAGTCATAAGGGGTATACTGATTTGAGAGCTCAGTGGTCTCAGATCTTGCAAGAGCGAAACTGGAAACTCAATCCTGTCTTTATTTCTTCATGCTAGTGTTCTTTACTTATTCACTTATTTTATCTGTCACTTATGACAAGTTGTTTGTTTCTCTGGCTATTAACAAATCGGAGGTTTAGGCATTTATTCATTAATCTGTTTATGGATCTGAATGATGAGCATCATGTAGGAATTTGTTGTTGAGTTATGGTCCTTGTTTTGTGCTGAGTGAAACTGTACTTGCATATTTAACATCACATAAGCTGTCACCATAAGCTAAAGCAAAATGTAATGCTTTTATCCTTCTCATGATTTAATGGTTTGAGATGTTTTCAGCTTAATGTACTCTTTGCTTTCTATCTTTATTCCCATCGTTCAGGTATCTCTCAATCAATCAAATGATCAGGTGGATAAAGATGCAGGTTCTGAAATTGAGTAAGTTTTCTAAACCTTGATATACAAAATGGTAGTTTATCTCTTGTTCTTGTTGGGGGTAAATTTGCTTTAATGAGCAAAAATGGAATTCATGCATTAGACAACCATTGATGGTTATGGTTTGTTGTCACACAACCAGTTGCAATATTTTTAAGTAGATAAAAAATATAGTTTTTTCTATCGATATTGGTTGCTGATGTCGTTAAAAATCGTAGGCCAGTGTCTTGTCGGACTTTACTTGTTGGCAACATCCATGTCTTATTCAATCCAAATCGTGGTGATATCAAGTTGGGACAGGTATACTAGTCCAAGTGCCCATATAAAGTTATTGATTTTTTGTTTTGTCTATGTAAAACAGTCACCTGTTTGCCTCTACCATACCTTGATTATTTGCTAAATGATCTCTTTGGTCATGGATATTATTGATGCTTTTTTTTGGTAGCTTAAGTCAAGGAGTTTAATTACATAGCACATCCTGATTCCAGCGAATGGCTAGCTGGGTAAATGCCATCAGCAAGGTCTTCTACATTGATGCAGCTTGCCAATGGCTATCTAGTTAAATGCCATCAGTCAGGTCTTCTATATTGTTGTAGCTTTGTGTGCCTGCTGCAAAAAAGCAACAAGAAAAGTGACAAAAAGGGAAAGAATATAGATGGAGAGAGTAACACAAGTTGTAACCCCTGAATTTTATAATATTATTGTATTTCGAAAATTAATAAAATAGGAGTCTCATGTAACTTAAATAGTTATGCAGATAGGAATTTCAGTTCTATTAGAATTAAATCCTATATGGTCTGTCCTCTATATAAACCCTAGCTTATCGGCCCTACCCGTTCCCTCTCATCTGCATCAATTCTTCGGATAGCTCGATTTGGCTTGGGTGATCGGATTGATAGCAAGAAGGGAGTCATTGGTATAAGGAGAACAGTAATTTTCTTCACTACTTTTCTATTTTTAAATTTATTATTTTATATTATTAAGTTTTTTGAAATTATTGTAAATTAATTGGATTTTTATTGGTTATAAAACTATTTCTTGATTTGAGTATACTTCCATGTTAGATCTAGAAATAAATTATTGTATGAATTTAATCTAGTACAATAATGTTAGTAGGGCATTAATAGCCCATGTTTGCACTATTATCTAATTGTTCTCTTGTACATTAATATTTTTCTGAAGATAATGTAATGTTATAATATATTTGTCATCACAAAATTAAATTCATGAAATAATATTGATGGTTTGATTAGTAATCCAATTCTTATTTAGTTGATTAATTTTGTAGCATGGTATTATTATTTTATTGTGATTAATCTAAATTATTAGGATTTATAATCTAATTTTTATGGGGGAATAGAGAGAGAGAGAGAGAGAGAGAGAGAGAGAGAGAGAGAGGGGAATCAGTTCAAAGCTGGTCCAACATAGGGATGGTCTGGCTTGGGCCTGATATGGCTATCCATTCCCAGGTCGGATTCGACCGGGCTGACTCGATTGGCTTCGGGTCCGGTTGGATCAGATCCAATGAGCACATGGACCAGACCCAGACCATGAGCCCAGTGTCAGGCCCAAGCAGTTGAACACAGCCTCAAACAAGCTGGCTAGGGCAAGTTAGCTCAGTTGTGAGCCTCACTCAAGCCTGAGTCCAGGCCAGCCACCCAGCCAGGATGGCCCAAGTGGCTGGCCTAGGCTAGCAGCCTATGTGGCTGGCCTGTAGTAAGCCCAACAGGCAAGCAAGTCATGTGGTTTAGCCATAGCTCAAGCGAGTCGGGGCCATGCCGTTGGTTTGAGCCTGGTTTAACTTGATTTGAACTGGTTCAGGTTGATATGATGGGATATCTCCATCAGCTGTTGGGAGAATTAAAACTTAAAGGGTTAGACACTCCATTAGCCATTTGGGGAGCATCCGTCGAGACATCCAATCAATGCCCTTGATGTTTGTTGTGGACACTATGGCGTATGTTGGATGAAACATGCTTCATATCTATAGCATGAATATTTAAATGTTATTTTGATTATTTGCTTCATAACCTTTTAGTCGGCCATTATTAGTTGATTTTTTGAGATTATTTGGAGAACCTACTTAGCATGGAATGTCGATCTACTTGTTTGTTTAATGTTTCAGAGCACTTTACTTAAAGTGATTAGCAAGAAGTTCTATTATCTATAATTTAGTCAGAGTTAGTTTCTTTCATGGAGACATCAGCAGGAATAGATTAGACATATGGATATTTATTTTTTAAACAATAAATTGGATTTACTTATTTGATCCGAATGGCCTGCAACTCTGAGATTGTTTATTAGTGTTATTTACAAAGATCTCAGGGCATGACACCTTTTAGTGGTATCAAATCATGGGTAGGGAACCTTTAGGTGTTAGAGTCCTATGATTTCCATAATGATTGTGTTAATGAATTGTAGGAAAAAATGAATCCTGATGCTTTCCAATGAGGCATTTGATAGTAATTTTTTGTGGATTTTTTCCCGGTCCATTTGAGATATCTGTGAATTCAATGAATACAATACTATGATAATGATAAAGACATTTATTGATTTAATATGTTGTAATTAAAGTTGTTTGACCATAATTGTGTTTCTAAAAAAATGTGCCAGCTGCATATGCATTTGTAAAGAAGACATGGGATGTGAGATGACTTGCTTTTGGATGTGTTACATCCTAATATATTTACACTATTCTTTGAAAATAGGTGTTTGATTGGTTCCTTGTTTTTCTTGCTCTGATAGATGCGGGTGTTACTAGAGAGAGCAAATACATTGTCAAAACAGTATGGCAACACTCCTGTTGTAATTTCTGGTGACTTGAATAGCACGCCAAAGGTTGTATATCTTGTTGTTATCCACTTTCTAATTTATTGTGCACTAGATCTTATGAAAGGGAATTGTTATTAATTTAAAAACTTTCATAATCTTTTGTTTCTGGGAGCTGAACATTATCATCATTACACAGAGTGCAATATGCCAGTTCTTAACTTCGAATGAGGTAGTGATTTGATGCTTCATTCTTTGTGAAAATACTTATGGTTAAAGATATGGCTGAATAACCTTACTTTCCAAATTAAAATATTGCAGCTCGACATTCTTCAATATGATCGGAAGAATATCTCTGGACAAATTGAATATCCAGTAAGACAGATGACCTATGCTATTCAGCATGATCGATTCAGGTCTTTTCAATATGAGACTCTGTCTAAGACCTTCTATTTTGACAAGAATGTTGGCCACTTGGCATTATGTGATTATTATCTCTTAGCTAATTTTGAGTGATGCTACATATTTAAATCTGCTGGATGTGGAGGTGCATGGCAAGTCAGCAGAAGTTTAGATGGAGTGAAGAAGAAGTCTGCCTTGCATCTGGAAGGAGAGGATGCACGCGTTTGCAGAACCCGCTAACCCTTTCCAGTGCATATCGAGGGGTTCCTGTAAATTCTAGTCATTGCCCTTTGTTTTTTCTTTTCTTACTCTGTAGTATGCTTGTCATTGAATTTGAGTCAAACTTTTCTTTTGTCAAGGGGTTAATTGGGAACATCTGTTAGTGAGGTTCTAACTTATAACAACGTGGTGCTTGTTGATACATCAATAGTGGAAAGCTTGTTGAATATTATGACATCAGTCAGTTGATAAGTTCCACAAGCATTTGAAAACAACACACCAATCCACTTGGTTGTATCTGCCCTATTAATATTCTTTATGGATTTATTTGAAAATTCACCAGATGGAAACACACACACACACACACACAAATATAATAACAAAAGGTCATGTACATGTAAAATTTAGCTCCACGATCAAGCCATAAAATAAACTAGAACACAAGGATTTTTAGTTTCCTGATAAACAAGGTAAATAGTTGAGTTTCTTGTTATTAGCTTCGAATTTGTTGCCATTTCTTGTTACCTGGTGAAACCTTCAAGTGGAGGCATGAAAATTAAAAAAAAAAATTGTGGTTCTAAAATTTATGTTCTGCAGTGAAAGTTGTACCTGACTATCCATCCATGCAGATGCATATGGTTTTGCATTTACTGCTTAAATATTCTTGGTTCTGAAAAAGTAACCATCTTAAGGACCTAATGATTTTTTTCTTGGAATTAAGTCATCATAATAGTTCTGGCACCTTTTCTCTATGAGCACTAGTTTATTCTTCTGTCATCAGTTGAGATATTCTGACTATTTTCATATTGCAATTTGTGTGTCAGGGTAATCTCCACACAAGAGATGAAAATGGCGAACCTTTGGCTACTTCTTGTCACTCCAAGTTCATGGGAACTGTTGACTACATCTGGTGATAATTTCTTATTCAAAGTCAAAAGTTTCTGCTGCTAGAAAACAAGAATGTTTATTGCAATTTAAAATAAAAAATGATATCCAGGCATTCTTCTGCACTAGTTCCTGTTGGGGTGGTTGATACCTTAACAATCAAAGTTTTACGAAGACTGAGAGGTCTTCCTAGTAAGGTATATGCCTATCCTGTACTTCCATTTATGTGACAGCTCTCGTGAACTCCTCATTCCATTTTCTTCAAGAGTTTATTTCATTTCTGATTTGGTGTTAAGTGATTAGACAACTTTTGGAAGAGGATAACCAGGAAAGTAGTTGTATTTCAAAGTTGTTGATGAAGGAATTTAAACAAGCTGCAAGAAGCTTCCATTTTGGTATGTTGGAATTAGAAAAAGGTTACTTTACACAAAGAATATCTTTCAGGAGTATCCCGGAAGAACGAAATATTACTAGGGAGAATTAAGTTTGCTTATGATTGACAAGCGATCGTTGTCCAGATATAAAACGGAGGTAAATATTTTAATATGAAGAATGCTAAATATTAAGGTCAAGAAAACAACACATGAGTATCTATTTAGGTGTGGGAAAAAGTTGTAAAAGATCACTCAAAATGTATGAATCCATGAATGATGTTGACATCTTTGCATTATTGTCCAATAGAGTTGTAGCCTCTGGGATATCTGTCGATTAAGGATTGTGCATGCAGATTGTGCCAACCAGCACATGTCGGCATGGTAGGGAAACAGAAGCATGCCACATATGGTGTTGCAACTTAGCATATGACCATCATTGTTTGCCATCGGTTTTCATCTCTGCCAACCTGTCCTAACTGGCTAACTCACAAGTTACTGGCGTCAACCTACACACTACCGGAATGGGGTCATATGATTAAACTGAAAACCTTGCAAACAATGATGTCTTAGGAACTTGGACACATAACGGAGGTGCTGTAGGAGAGACTGGAACTGAAGTTTTTTATGAAGAATAGAAGAGAGAACAGGCAAGATGGTTGACTAGATACTATTCTTTTTGAAGTGTCTATTCTTTTCCTGTAGGCTGCTAGTGGTCGGTTCTAAACAAAAGCTGATCTTCTCTTTTCAAGTGATCAGTGCTTCTTTTCAAAGCTATTATTTTTGCTTTATCTTTTTTGTGGTCTTATGGTATCACTTGTTTACCATTCTAATGATAGAAAATATATCTTATGTTATTATATTGGACGATGAATTTATGATGGCCATATTACCCCCTTTTCCTTTCATCTCGGTTCTTGTTTGACCATTATTCTTCTACAGAAATGGGGTAGTGATCATCTTGCTTTGGTGTGTAAATTTGCTTTCATCGATGATGAGGCCAACGCTGCTAGTACTATGGACAATCATTAGCTTAAGATTGATTGGTAAAATATTTTTTATAATGTTCTATTTTTTTATTTCTATATAGATGTCATGGCCATTGTAATCTTGCTTATACTATATTTGCAGGTGCACTTGAGACTTGCTGGCTTCTCATTTTCACAGTGTTGGCTGTCGTTGAGTCAGGTTTTGTGTTTACTTGTTAAGATCTCCAATTTTGACATTTTTAGATAATGTCACCCTTTTTTTTTGTTTTGCCTTTTGACCTCAACTAGCACTACCACGCCTCTGAAGGGGTGGGGTGATGTTGTACCAGGATGGGAGTGGAAATGACGAAAGGATTAGGAACATCTGGGAAGAAAAGACAAGGAGAGGGGAGTGGAAACCTTTCCGTACCCAAAAGGCTCCTCCTACATATGTGGAGTCTGCATAGAAGCCTTACCTGTTTCTGTGACTTGAATTTGGACTCTCAGTAGCACGAGACTCCTAGATCAACATTATCATTGTATCAAAGTCTAGATTTAATTGCTCATAAAAGAAAGTTAGATCTAGATTTAATTATTCATAGACATGCTGCTTACTTTTGTCCAAAGAAATACATGGTATTGAAACTGTAGTTGATTAATTATCAAGCCTTGACCAATCTTATGTTTTAGTTATATTAACTGGGTCAAATATTGATGCAGGACTTTGTGGTACGGGAAAACATGCTGATGAATTAGCAAGCATACGGCTGTAGCCCAATAATGTATATTTATTCATGAGACTTCATTTTGTTACTTGATGTATGTGCAAAAAGTTTTCACAGCACAGAAAGGCAGCAACTCTTTTGGTTTAAGAGTTGGTGTGAGTGCAAGGACTTGTTCGCATGTTTTCATGTGAGGAATTAATGATGTCGGGTTTGTTTCTCGGAAGACTTTATTCACGTCACGAGTTCCCCGCCTCTGTTGTGGCAGCCGAGCCATATTGTCCTTCCCAGCGGCAGCCGAGCCCTGTGGTGAGTGACCAAGACAGACGAGAACGATTGGTGTCGCAAGCAGCACCATCTCGGCTCGGAGGTTGAACTCTGGCTGAGGTGGATCCTTATTATGATACCAAAAATACTCCTGCAGCAGAGAAGGGGTGTTGGGAGGAATGTATCGGGTGACATCCTTCTCCCACGCTCGAGTAAAGAGAAGGAAAGCTCTTTTACCTTTTGTGGCGACCCCTTTATAACGTGCGAGTCCTTAACGATCGAGCCTTGGTGGATTATTTTTCTTATATAGATAGATGGGTTACGTTATGATTCGATGACGGAAGAAAACAAAAGATCGTGTAGCCATTCCTTAACACAAAGTTAATTGTACTGAAAGTGAGTGGAGGAGGGTACAGAGCGATACGTCCAAGGGAAAGCAGCGCCGGGGGGAAGACAAAGACGTGTTACCTTTCCACTGGCACTCGTGGTCATCGATGGGTTGAGGTAACATGGTAAGATAAAGCCGGCTGACTAATCTCTCGGTGTCGCATGGAGTAGCTCCAAAAGACCGTCGATTTCCTTGTCTGCGACTCCATCGGATCCCCCACAAGCCATGACTCCCATCCCATCTTATCCGTGTGTTGTGGCCCTCGTCATCCTACCCTCGATCTTCCGATACAAAGCGACAAGCGGTGTAGATGGATGGATACCTCCAAAACAACAGCATGGGCTCTTCCCTCTGGCAACCCTCCTCGACCGAAGCGATAGGGTATCCGACGACTCACCAAATATTTTAGCATCACCATGTTTTACCGAACACCCAGCCGGAGATTAAACTTTGGGTTCTGCTGCTCGCCTCCGGGCTGGAGGTATCAAGTTCGACATTCAAGGAATCCTAGCGGGCTTCGAGCAGTGGTGGTGACGATGATTCGCTTCTCACATAGAACGACCATTTCATTTCTTTGCCCCGTCTTATTCATGACTTATATTCTTCGATGACAATGTCTGGAATTGTTGCGTTTCACGTTTCCATATCTCAAAACATTTTTCACCTACCATAATATTAGGCCTTCGTTTCCCGTGGCTGGGCTTGGGTTGGCTTGTCAGAAACAGCCTCCCTGGCACTGGTGGCATTAAATGGATAGTGTTGTATGCCGATCATCCCAATAGCTTACTCATGTTTACATGACGACCTTTCAGGCGTAAGTCAACCACTGACTGATACACACACATGTTCTTTCTTTTCCTTTCGATTTTACCCACCATTCAGCACAGAATGCGGTAATCACCGGCATCTCTCTGCACAGCCCTTGCTATAGAGAGAGCATCCATCAATAATAGTAGTAGCCAGGGTTGGGCAATATTGTTTTTGTTTGCACTTCAACAAAAGAATCAGAGGTCTCTGTTTTATATTTGTCGAAAGACTGTTTCCTGCATCTCGAGGCCAATATTAACTCTGATGACCATGGTAACAAATACGCATACAAATCAAACCGGCTTTAAATAAACATATATTTGGTGTACCATAAATGCATAAAATACTCAAAAGGATTGATGCTAGACAGTCAAAGACAGACTACCACGTGAAGGATTCGATGTATCACTGCCCTGTTTGACAGAGATTGCAACCTCTCTTTCTACAGAAGACAGTGACCGCCATGAAGAATGGATCCACTTCACCCATCAACTTGTCCAGCAACGACGGGTTGAACAGCACACGGTAACCATGAGGATTCACAAACAATGGATGACAGATTCCAACACACAGTTTGAATGACAAACACAAAGCAGCGACAGATGAGGAGAAGAGACAGAGAGAGCATGGTTAGGTGACAACAAGTCTTCTTGGGGGCGGCTCTTACAGCTCCGGAAAATCCCAAGAATTGTTCGCTCACGCTCCAAAACTGAAACCCTCACAACACCAAACTCTTTCTTCGTCTCTTCCCCTCACCAAACTCTCCAACAATAGCAACCTCACAATTTCATATCCTATTGTACTAGCAGTCACCATAATAATAATAATAATAATAATAATAATAATAATAACTCTTGAATGGAAACTAAGCTGCAAAATTATCATCCCCTAGTCCCTCAGAAATCGATGTCCATCCACTGGTTAAGGGCCTCGAGGGAGGGGAAATCGCCGCCGACGATGTCGTCGTCCATGTCGGGAAGGTCCTCTAGGCGGAGGAATTCGTTAGGGAGCAGCTCCGACCCGATATCGCCAAGAATGAACAAGTCCGACCCGAAAGCGAACTCTGCGTCGCAGGTCGGGAGCGGCAGCCCTTGCCCCTCGAAGAGGTCCGCGATGGATGGCTCCTCCGCAGCGTGTTGGGCAATTGAAGATGAATCACGGCCATCATCCGCGACTCCGGAGGCGGAGGCGGAGACGTCGAGCACGGAGGATGGAGAGGAAGGAGCCGCCACAGCGACGGCGTCCGAGCGCATGGAGGGAGATGACGAGGTGGTGGTGGAGTTGGCAGAGGCGACCGACAGGTTCTTCTTCTCGGTCTGGAAACGGAGCGCGGCGGCCGCGTAGGCGGCGGCGGCAGCCTCCGCGGTGTCGTAAGTACCGAGCCAAAGCCTGACGCCGCGGATGGGGTCGCGGATCTCCGCGGCCCATTTCCCCCACGGCCGCTGCCTGACGCCCTTAAACCTGACGGCGGACGTGGTGGAAGACGAAGTCACCGAGCAGAGGGTTTTGACCTTGGGCCTCCGCAGGAATTTCGGAGTTTTGTTGTTCCTCCTGCTGCTCTCCTGCGACGAGGCATCCGATTGAAGGAAGGGGAAGGTACCAGGTAACCGCAGCTCGACAGTCGCCCTCTTCCTGCGGCAGGAACGGTTCACGCCCTCGTCGTCGCTCGACTCGGTTGCGTCGGGATCGTCGAAAATGACGCGAAGTCTTCTGGCGAAGAGCTTAGATTCGAGTTGGGAAGTGGAACCAGATCGGTAAAGTTGCTTCCTCCCTCTCCTCTTCTGCATCTTTTCTTGCTGCCTTAGGAGGAGGCACTGAAGCGGCGGCATTTCTCTTTCCAAGAAACCAAAAAAAGAAAAGAAAAAAAAAAGGTGAAGTTCTCGTTCTCTCTGTCAAGTGAGGGCTCCTCGCAAGAAGATGAGGAGGAAAATACACAGATCTATATGCTGAAATCCGAAGTACTTCACTCCAAAACCAACCCTGCAAGCAAAACACCCAAAAAGCGACGATCGTCAGGAGTCTCCCAAATTTCTCCCAAAAACATTTCGTGAAAACAGAAGGCGAGATGGGACCGTACCTTGTATATCGCATCGAATCCGTCTTCCTCGATCCCTCGGGCCTCTGTCGCATGCGGAGAGGGGAGGAGCCGAAGGGGCGGGAGGAGAGAAAGAGCGAGAAGACAATACCACCGATGACACAGCAGACGGAGAGATGCCGATCTAAAGCTTCGATACTTTTGGCAGCGAGAAACAATAAATCGAAGGAACCAGACGACATAAATCCACGCCTCGCCTTCGATCTCTCCTCGCCCTCTCTTCGCTTTCTCGATCTCTTCGCCGCTTAAACCCCAAAGCGAAGAGGGAGGAGGAGAAAAGGAAGGGAGAAAAATGGGGTTTCCGCGCATTAATAACGAGCGAAACGGAAGCGGATGAGGAAAGCGGAACCGAGATGAGGAGCGTACGGCTCAGATTTGTCACCGGCCCCGTCCTTCTCCCTGCGTCGCGAATCTCGAGGGGGGAAGTCGCTAAATTAACGCTCACGACGGGATTCGTCGGGGTGTCGAACCGCGACGTCAACCCAGAATCTGACACGCCAGTGAGACGAGGTGGGCCACGCGTGTATGCCTCCGGGTACAGTTTTGGGTCTGCGGAAATCAGTGGCGTCGGGTGGAGGGTTAAAATAGGAAAACAAATATACGACGCAGATGGTAACAGCTGGAATAAATTAAAAGGAAAAACGAAGAAGAAGAAGAAGAAGAACTAAGAAACGTTTGGTCTTCGCAGAACCGTCGGAGGGAAATGAGTAATTTCCTGAATAATGAATACTTTTACTGAGCTATTAATTTATGGTACTTTTATGTTGCTTTTATTTTCCGTAGTAGTAGTAATGGTAGTACTGCCATTAACCTTTAAACATGCTAAAAATTACGGGTGACAGCCAAACATCTATCCCAATTTATATATGTTACATCCATCCCAATCCCATCAGATCTACAAATCTTCGGCTGCTTGCTGACTGTTAGCCACCAAACATGGTACTTTCCCTTTATATATATCTCCCGTTAGATACACAAAATAATTGTTGATCGATCGCTAATAATTTAAATGTTTATGGATATCTTGGTGTTTTATTTATTTATTTATTTGTCCTCTCCCTATTTTCTTTTCTTCTTTTTCCCTTTTCCTATGACACACACATGGAATAAAATAAAGAATTAAATTTACAACATCAAACGTAACAAGAGAGTTTAGAAGCTTGTAGATGATAAAAGTTCGCATGGAAGCTTGGCGAGCTGCGAAGTCGATAGACTCGACACATCTTAGACCAGCACGAGGAGGAGGAGGAGGAGCTAATCCAAGCTTGCATGCTGCTGAAAAAGAATGCTAAGAAAAGAAGTGCCCCCATTCGATGTTTGATGAAATGCTTGCTTTACGAGGGGCGTGAAGGAGACGACGCGACGCTTGTTGGTGCGCAGAATGATGTCGTGGTACAGGAGAAGATTCATCGGCGTCTGCAGCCCGACCAGCTTTTTTGACCTCTCCATGATGATGATGTGTGGTGACAAAAGAGAAGGAATGCTGCTGCTGCAGTGGCAGTCCATGGCGTCGCCGACCAACCGATCCATCGACGCAGAGTACCACCACCACAACTCAGGACTTGGCCCTGCTGCCATAGGCCTCTGGGACACTGGAGCCAGTCCCCCACACACCGAATCATTTTCCCATCGAGCACCGCAGCATGCTCTTCCGATGGTGGATGTCCGAGATCCTTGAAACCCAATGCTCCACATGCTTGAAACCCAATTGCTCGAGCCATGGTTTCACTAAAAGATGAGGAGATCACGTGAGATGCCACGTCGTGAATACATGTATGTGTGTAAAGTGTAGCAGTTCTTTTTTCATTTGATATTATTATTATTCCCTCTTTGTAGTCAAAGATTTGAGTCAAGATGGACTGTCAGATGGTGCAATTTCCATGGCTTTAAGGATGTCGCATGTGACGCCCTCCGCCGGTGACGACGATTCCGCTTCTCACGACGCACGTGACAGTCCGCACCATATGATTCTAATATGAAAAGTAAATATTAAAAATAATAAACTAAATCAAATAGTCGCACGACGACGTTTGCCGTCAGATGGGTTGGCCCAGAGAATCCCATGCCACTCCCGAACGTGTGGATCAACACGTGCACGCCCGTATAAAGGCGACGGGAACCAATCGAATACCGGAATAACAAGTCCTATCACATTCACGATGGGAAGAGAAAGCATTTCATTATATCCGACGCTAACAAAGCCTTGCCATCATATAAGCCCATCAGGCCGACACCAATCCCAGTATGTTGAATGCTGGACCTGCACGGCTCCATGGAGAACTCACGTGCGACAGACCTCTCACGGGGCAAAAGAAACCATGGTTTCTGCTTATGTAATTGAAATGCTTATAAGATTACAGCAAGCTTTGGATCCGAACATCCAAATGGGTGCGATGGAAGAAACAGGGAAGAGACGTGCATTCCCGTTGCGGCATAAAAGGCGTGATTGATGTTTTAGCACCTTCGTCACGATTTAGTGTCATTTCTTTAGATATTAACATAAACAAGTCGAGAATAAAGAGGGAATCGAGGACGCGAAGGGTAGGCTCACGCTTTTTAGGCTTATAGACTTTCTCCTGCCCGCGAAATGTCCGCATGGCTTCCCGCACCGAAAGATGGTCTCCGTGGGGCCGCAGTGTGGCCTGGGTTTGACCCAAATCTAAACATTTGGGTTATGTTTGCTAAGATTGGGATTAGGAAATCACGATTGTACCTTGATTTGGGTTAGGCTGCGGCCCAACCAACTCGAGATTACTGCTAGATGTGCAACAACACCGTCTTTAGGATGTATTAAGAATATAAATAAGCATCGATCATCTATCGCAGTGTTATAGCATCGACTACTGGAGGCTTCACGCATCGATCATCAATCTTAAATCTAAATTAGGATATAAGATAAATTGGAAACAGTGAGATAGGTGAGCGTTTCTTTGGGGCCATCGAAGTCCATTGACATATTCGCGTACGGAATGTTCGCAGGACATCATCACATGGTGGAGTTAGTGTGGAGCCCACCACCACTGGTTTCGGACGCCGTCGCTGAGACGCCATGTTATTTAGTAATCAGTATCGACATCACCATTATTTTGGCGAGAGCACAGTTAATTCGCGGATTGAGGCCAAAATTGACGATACAGATCCAAGCATTCACCCACGATCGTTTGCCTCGCCAGGCGTACAGCGCCTGTGCCCGGAGATATTTTTCCGATTGGTGCAGGCCACTAATTCCGCACTATTGGAGTGCGTGGTGAGGTCGATCGACGAATCTCTTTTGGTTAAGATAGAAAGCGGAGGACCGATGCAATACTTTGCGACTTGGCTTTCTTCTTCCTTGGTAATTTCCTTGTTGCCAATTCATCTTCCCCTAACCTTTACAACCTAAACGTTTCATAAAGAAGACGAAATGCTTCCATCAGACGGCAGGCAGCGTCTCCGATCGCCAGGCGAGATCGGCATAGTCGAACAGCCCGCCGTCGAACACCACCCCGTTCACCTCAGCCTCGGCACTCTCCTCCGGCCGGATCCCGAACTCATCCAGCCAGCCGTAGCCGTTGATTTCGTCGTCGAACCCCCAGATCTGGCCGAACCCGATCCCATCCACCTCACCCCCGACGCCGGGGGCCACGGCGATCGCCGCCTCCGGGGGCTCGCCGCCCTCGTCGGACATGGACGGAGCCGGGGGAGGCGGCGGCGGCAGGCCCAGCTCGTCGTCCGAGGCCTCGAAAAGGTACCCTAGATCCGGCTGATCAATCGCCACAACGGCCAGCGGTTGAGGAGGAGGAGGTGACGGGAAAGCGATCTCCTCCTCGAGGCTTTTCATGACGGAAGCGAGGTCCTGGTCGCTGTCGCTGGCGCCAGCGCCGGCGTCGTCATCGAGGATGTCGTCTAGGAGGAGGTTCTCGCGGAGGCGCTTGGCCTCGGGAGAGGAGATCTCCGGGGAGCCGTCTCCCTCCTCCTCGCCGCGGCGCCTCTTGTGGTCGCCGGATTCCTCCATGGCAAGAGAGAAAGAGGACTTCTATTTTGGCGGTGGATAGAATGGGGAACCGAACAAACCGAGATGGAAGGAGGGTGCAGTGGGAAAGTACAAGAAAAGCAAGTGGGAAGAGTATGCGCGGTGGCGGTTTTGTACACGGTGGAGGAGGCGGAGGGGGTTTATATAGGAAGCGGAACGGAGTTTTCCTGGGGACTTCTCCGTAAAAGACGATGCAATACGTCAAAAGCACAGGGACGAAAGTGTAAAAAGGAAGAAACGAGAGAAAGACGTGGGCGGATGGGGTGGGCGATTCTAGGGCCGTCTATCACGGGCGCTTTGCCTTTTCTTTTTCTTCATTAAGAAGACAAATAAAAAAATGGTAAAGGGACGCGCCCGTCGTGAACTGGGCTTCGAGTCCGGATGGAGCGGGGACCACTGACCCCGTCGTCGACCTATCTACTCGGCTCGGCTTGATGTGGCGGGTATGTGGTTTGGCTTGGTCTTCTCGGCTCGGCTGGATTTGGATGCCGTCTTCTCCCTCTCCTTTTCTCCGAGGGCGCTTCCTTCGAACGGTGGGAAGCGTTTCCTGCGGGCTTTCTGTCTGTCGTCTTGGACGGTGTGCAACGGCAGGTGTCGTCACATGGCGTGCCGTGTCCCCTATTCCCGTTTCCCCAGATGAAACGAGACCACCATCTACGCCACCCAATCCCATGAGCTGCAAGAGGTGGGTCCCATGTGAGGCCCACCAACGACGCTACTCTCTCGGTTATACTAGTTTCCTACGCAATGGCGTCACGCGCGCCAACACGAGCACCTTCAGTTACACCGCGGAAAGGTCGTTGAGGCGTGCCATCTGCATGCACGATGAAACCGCGCCCATGGAAATGCCAAGGGATATATATATATATATATATATATATATATATACGACACAAGATTTTATTCGTTTCTTGGCGGGGGATAACTTGAGCAAATAGTCCTGTTCTGGTCCGGTTAATTAACCCACGTCACACAATGCAAACGGATGATGGCAGGTTGAGGATGCGTGTTTTATCGACGTGTAAGAGTCTCATATGAGGGAGCGGGTGTTTGGTGTCGGAAGGGCCGGACAGTAGGGGTCCGGGTTTAGGGATCTGTCGATCTCTCGTCGGCCCGTCTTCCCCATGCCTATCCAGGAAATAGCTTTGGGAGTAACCGAGAAGTGGCTCGTGATACGAGCCGTGGGATGATGGGGAGAGCTAATTGACTCCAATCCGCGCCGTCCTACCGCTTGTCGCTATTATTAATTCTAAAAATATATAACACCTTTTAAAGATTTTTCTTCCGTTTTGGTCCTCACGGGTGTGTATGTACACATCATGGGCTTCACGTGAGCCGACGTCTCGAAACCGCCTTCTTCTATCTCGGAACCCATATCATCAAGGGAAGAAGAAGAAGAAGAAGTAAATCTCTCCCGTATCCAACGGACCCAACGATGGCTACAACGGTGGGTCCCTCGTGATGGACAGCGCATGAAAACATCATTAACTAAGATTCTTCCAACAGGATGATAATATTTGCTGTGAAAAGAAAAGATGCATTGATTGGGCTACACTTTCTTCAATATTCTACATCCAAATCTCTCTGTCTTTAAATCGAATAGAAGCATCAAGAGCGGGATTTAATATAATTGTTGCTAGCCTAGCAATTGCTCGATCAAAGTAGGTCCAAAAAATACGCCTGAGGTGTTCGTTCTCGGCCATTTAGTACGGCTGCTTGCGTCTCAAGTAGGGGGAAGAAAAGAATCCCCAGGCGATGTTAGGTTTCCATATTCCATGGCGTAGTGGCCCCAGATAGACGGCAGCGAAGCACACAGTAAACCTAACTATGGGTGTCTGGGTTCAAGATTCCGAGGTTGTCCTCTGCTACTTTTCTCGATGGTTTACTTGGCGTGCAGCTGAGGTAGGCGTCATGGCAGACTTGGCATCACAATACAGTCAAACTCTTCGGCAGGTAATTCCCAGAGGAGACGAGGGGGCGGAGTTAAAAGCGTCGGCATGTCTGCTCCTCGGTCAACTGGGCCACTGCATGTCTGCTCCTCGGTCGAGTCCTAATGGAAGATGCCAACTTGGGCGTAGTTTACTATAAAACATGATATGGTGTTGAATGCTGTTCGAACTAAGAGGAAAACATCAAATTAATCTCCCTTTATTATATCGGGTTGCTTTCGTTGCAATCCTAGTTAGGCCCCCACCGGGATGCGGACGGAGCAAGAGGACTTCGCTTTGAGGTTTGGCCTCTAACCATTGTTTTAATGCATCAGGACATCAACGTGGACCATGCCAATCATGCACCCTAGTCTTGTTTTCTTCATCCTTCTCTCCCCCTCCATCCGACGGTAGGAGGTCGTCATTGTGGCGAGTGTTGGACGCAAGAACACGCATGAAAGCGGCATGTCTCGAGAGCATGGTCTGTGACTTCACATCGCTGTGAGTCACGGATGGTTCCATACGCATGCTTAACTATTTTGCCGACCGCCCACCACCGCAAAAGACACGAGGACAGCTGGGTGATATCGAGCTGCACGCTTCGTTGGAAACCACGGTGAACAGTACAAACGATGTTGTACTATAAAATATACTGCAGTCTCTCGAGCAGTGGGGAAAAGTCTCTATAAGAGTGGCGGTCTCGATCAGCCTTGACCCGTTGTATTGCGTCAAAGACGTGCAACACTATGAATCATATCCCTTCTTCCTTTCGTTCTTGTCGATGGAAACATGGTGACTGATTACCCACTATATATGGACTAGTAGATGTTGTTGACTCGATGCATGATGAACAAGAAGATTCGTCATAACGTGAGGTGGAGATTACTATCGGTGACCGCGACTCTTTCCAGAGATGCCCATTCGCAGACGAAAGCAAAGCCCCATGGGAACGACAACACATGGTGGATCGAACTCGCCCGGTGCTTTGGGCCCTTTATTTGTGCCCAGGGTTTTGCTTTACATGTCACGTCTTTTCGCGTCGACCGGTATCTGATTCATGCTTGAGAATGGCAACAATGGTCTCAATGGCCAGCCACTGGGGTTCATGGCGAGCATGATCATCTACAAGTCGTGTTATTCAGCCTTCGCTGTCCCTTCGTCTGAAGAAATTATTCTGAGGCTGCTTAAACCCTCTCGTTGTCAATCTTTACGCGAGCATCTCCTCCTTCAGTCCCATTGTCGAGGTTCTGTTCTCGTCCTTCTATCATCAAATCCCTAATTTGTTTCCCCTCGTCGAAGGTTAGAAACTCGAAGGAGACGGCTAACTCCTCGAGAAGACGAAGAGCCGGCACAGTGACTGGAACGGAGAAGAGGCCTCAGCGTTCTCATCCATCGTTCTTTCCTTGCACCACTAGGCTGGCCCGCAAGGGTCTCTCTCACAAAACCGGTCCCGGGAATTAAGGAAGCTACTGTGTTTTGCATAAACCTAGTAGCGGCGATTCAAGTTCATGGCCCGGCGACGGCAGAGAACCGCCGCACGCTTCGCACAAAAAAAGATATCAGGAATCGGTTTCGCGAAGAACATGAAGTGATCAGCTGACGCATCGGCCAATAGAAGAATGAACATGTTGATGTCAAGATAAATATGTGCATCCGAAGCTGTCCACGTATGTCTTTGCCAGAATGCACCGCCCACCTCCGTGTTCAAGATATTATTATCTTGCGACAAGGAAATGGCAGTGAGAGCACAGAGAGAGAGAGAGACGTGGCCATCAACCTCCAGCTTTTGGCATTATTAGGCAATCTTGAGATGGCTTTCATACCTCAATCGGATGGGGGGTTGGACAGCGGAGAATGGCACTGATCCGTAGCTGGTGCACTGTGGTTTGAAGGTGGCCACGTTGATTGCTTGTGAGCCCAGCAAACTGTGCCATCCGTGACTTCCTTCCACCTATCTCATCAGAATTCAGAAAGCTCTGTTTACGGACGCATTTATTTGCCATGAATTTAGTGACACAGATCTTTACTTTTTCTTCTCTACTTCCTCCAAACGCTCTGAGCAATAGGTCTCCATCTGAACTGGATCTCTTTATGTCTGATGTTCCCGTCTTGTCTAAGCCTTCGACGGTCGGTTCGAGCTGCAAGCATTATCCAAGTGGGTTTGATAGGAACTGCTGCTTCTTCGTCACGGCTCCGCCTACCGACGACAATGGAAGCCGCTCGTACTGCGCTAACGATGCATCGCCACCTAAAGGCATCGACAACCACAATACTCGGAGCAGAGTCGTACCACGGCATTGCTTCGCGTACACAGCATGCTGGATCGAGCCCAACATACTTGCCAAGGCCTATGCGATCGACGGATTCTCTCCGTGGGCCATTATATATCCGAAACCTGGAACCGTATGAAATATGAATTGCTCATCCGTTCGCGAACAATGACTGCCGTAGAGGCTAGACGCCACTGTTCCGTAACAGAGAGCGTGGATGTATACATAGAACAGAGCTCGTAGATGGGAAAGCGGTGTGATGCGCCGGAACAGAGAGCATTCTGGTACCCCCAAACGACAGAGACAAGGATACCACAACACGGAGCAGATCACCGGACTGGGACAGGACATAGGAACCACGAACGCTCTCCGACAACCCCACTGTTCGGCTTCTAAACCAGCTGTCGGTACAAAGAACCAAAAGCCTGGGCATGCGGTGGTACAAGATTTAGTTCGCTAGTCGGCAGCAAGTAGCAGCAGCTTGCAAGAAACAAAAGCTGACAAGCCATTTAAGGGAGGGTGATGCCAAACAACATCATGGAGCTGTAGCGAGCAGTGAAAGCTCGGATGGAGCTTTCTGTTTCGGACTTGTATTCCTGCGAATGTGGTAAATCTTGCCTTCGTCATCTATTTCATCCTTCGGCGGGCTCACCAGAAAAAGACCAGCTTTAATTTGAGTTCCACATCCACACAGTGAGTTAAAATATAGAACATTGGGAATAAAATTAGACTCTTCAAGAAGCTATCGTTCTTATGAAACACACACAAAAGCATACTTACACACTCGGTTATAAGGCTACAAGGAGCCGAGATGGCGTCGAACTACATGAAAGACGGCACAAGCATCAGAAGGATGGAAACAGGAACACACCATTTCCTTCTTAGCTCCACAGCACCCCCAAAATGGAATCCCATTTTCCCAGAGAGAGGTGCA